AGAAGCGAAGAATTTTTTTTCCTTGGGAGAATCCTCCTTTAAGATACTAAGAGGATTTGGTCCCTTGCATTTTTGCTGCAGCCTTGCAAAATGTTAGCAATACTGTTGGTTCACCCTTAGCAGGGAAATTGTTTGTAGTCATTGGTACTGGTGGTGCCGGCAAGGCACTTGCTTATGGTGCAAAAGAGAAGGGGGCAAGGGTTGTCATTGCCAATCGCACCTATGGTGAGGTACCTGTACGTTCACTTTCAGCAATATTTCGCACTTGCTCATGCCATTTCCTATTTCGTGATATCATATCTATGCAGCAATGGGCAGCTTTTTGTATTTTTATTTGGTTTTGGCATTTAGAACCAGTTTCTATGATGGCAAATCTTTTATCCACACACATTTCCAGAATAGTAAGCTTTTCTCAGGGAGCAAACACACATAGTTGTATTGGAAAAATTGAGACAGCGATGTATTCTTTTGATGTCCTTTTTTTGGTAAGATCTGTGTTTCAGCAATATTTGGTAGAGGAAATGCCATGGGTTTTTGAAGAAAATCATTCAATACTGTCTAAAAACCATCTTGGCTATTGTCTTTTGAAATTTTCTGATTGATTCTACCTGTTCTCAAGCTGTCTTGCGATGAAGAAAATGTTTTTCCTTCACTTTTTATTCCGTCCCTCCACTGCTTCTTTTCTGCAACCAAATCTCTTTGCCGGTTTATTTTTTACTTCCCTTGTTGAACTTTGAAAACTCAGGGTATTCATTGGTGAAGCATGGCCTTTTTCTTCTTTTTTTTTTATTAATTCATCATATTTTATGATCTTGCTGGGTAAAAGAAAATTATATTATATGCTCCCCCCACCCCCCAACTCCTCCCAAAAAAAAAAAAAATCCCATATGCAGGTGTATGAGGATTTTATACAAGAATTAGGTCCACAATACATTTGTGGTGGATTGGATTATTATTCTTTTTGGCTGCTTGGGATAATGTGTTACCAACCCAAGCTGTGTTTTTCGGGTTTATGTTGACTGAGGTCATCCTGTGCTGAATTTTTAATTTTATTTGTTTGCCTTCAAGAGCGAGCGCAGGAACTTGCAGAGACAATTGGAGCAGATGCTGTCTCTCTTGCAGATCTGGAAAATTTCCATCCTGAGTATGGCATGATTCTTGCAAACACAACATCAATTGGAATGCAACCAAAAGTTGATGAAACTCCTATTTCAAAGGTTTCCCCACCATCATGCTGTTTTTTTCGTTGTGAATTACTATGCATCTCCTTGAATGAAAAAAGGGCCAATTACCAAAATCCTCTTATAAAAAATTTTTCTAAGAAACCTTCAAAATATATTTGGATCTATAAAACCCCCACACAAAATTTATATATATATATATATATAAAAAAACCAAAATCTAAACCTCACTTGACACTACTAATCCATTAGAGTTTTTTGGGATGTGAAATTTCTTGTTTAAACAGAAGATTCTTTTAATACACATTGTTGCTCAGTTAGCACCTTCAGAGGTAAAGAGTATTAAGAGGCTTGATGTGTTTGCAGCACGCTTTGAGGTCTTACTCCCTGGTTTTTTATGCTGTTTACACCCCCAAAATAACCAGACTCTTGAGAGAAGCAGAAGAATCTGGAGCCAGATTGTCACAGGGTTAGAGATGTTTATTGGGCAGGCATACGAACATTTTGAGAGGTTAACTGGATTAAGTGGTGAGCTTAGTGGTTATTATACCTTTATATATTTATGGCATGCCCTCATAACATCCTCAGTACTTTTTTGGTTCCTTCAGATCTATTTAAATCCGCCGTTTCTCTTTGCAGCCCCCGAGGAATTGTTTAAGAAGATTATGTCGAAGAACTGACGGTGGTGTGAGGCTAATAGTTTAAATGCAGCTGGTTTCTTTTCCTTTGTGGCTCACCCAATTCTCTTTTCCACCCTCGGGGAAGGGGTTGATTTATCACACAGTTAACTCTCAAGACTTAACTAGTGCACAGAGCAAAATAAAATATATAAAAAAATATTTTATTTTTAATATATATTATTGATAAATTTATTTATTTATTTTTACTTTAGTTTTAGTCTATATTGAGTTTTAAAATTAATAATATTATAATAACTTTAATCATAAAATTGAGATTAGCCTAACAAATTAACTTGAATTAACTTGTAAGCAAGTTAATTCAAAACTTGAATTAATCTAAATTTTAAAAAAAAATATTAGCCCGATTTGATATATTTAAAAGTACATGTTGACTTAAAATCAAATACAAGTGAAATATTAACTTGTTAATTTTTTTTTTATTAAAACAAGCTGTTTTAATTATTTTTTTCAAAAAAAATGAGTTAATTAGATTGATTCTTCTTATACGTAACTTGAATCTTACATTGAATGAGTTGAGTTTTTAAATTATAATAATAATTATTTTTATTTATATATTGATTTGAGTCAACCCGAGTTGACCCTTCAAACTCATTACTTGTATGCCTTCAAGTTGGGTTTTTAAAACTAAATTAAAAACAACTTTAATCTTTATGTTGGCCATCTCAATTTATGACTCTAGTCTTATTTCAAGTTGACTTTAAAATCGAGTTTTAAAAATATAATATTAATTATTTTTATTTTTATATTGATTCAGATCAACGATCTTTAAATCAAATTTTTTAAATTATAATATTAATAATTTTTTTATATACTAATCTGAATCAACAATCAACTCCATTTATGATCCAGCATTACCTTAGATCAACTTCTAAAATATAATAATAACTATTTTTATTATTACACTGACTCGGGTCAACTCTTAAATCGAGTTTTAAAAATATAATAATAATCATTTTTATTTTTATATATTTTAATTAAATAATTTTGAAATTTAAATATCTTAATTAAACAATTTTGAAATTTACTATTTTTTACATTAATAATTTAAAAATTAAAAATAATAAATATTATCTTTGAACACATCCTTTCTATATCTCATGTTTTGAAAGTTTAATTTTTTTCATCTAAACACTTATTTTATTCATTCTATCCTAAAGCTGCATACATAAATTTTATTCATTCTATCCTAAAGCTATATACATAAGGGGTTCTATCTATAGTTTTGAAATCTGGACTAGCACAGCGAATCGATCTGGAACCTGAACAACCCAAGTCTGAAACTAGTCCGGATGGAGATAAAAACCCACTTAAGAGTTGGCACTGTAAAACCCAGTTGACCCAGAAAGTTGACCCGAAACCTAATCAACCGAATGAGACTCAGTCTTATTTTCTTTGGCATTGTCTATCATTTTATTTCTCTACACAGCAAAAGAAAAAAAATGGGAAAAACAAGTGAAATTGGAGGGCTAATATCAATAATAGCAGCCTCCTTTTTCTTTTCTCAATCATTTTTTTTTTTGGGTGATGACCCTAGTTTTTCTCTTTTCTCTTCTTCAAACCCTTCTCCTTCCCCTCAATCTTCTTCGTCTTCTTCTTCTATACAATCTTAGCCATCCACTTTGCCTCAATCAACGGCAGCGGGTAATCTAGAGCTTTTAGGAATGGTCACCCACGAACAACACTGTTGGGTTTGATCCTGAAGCTTTAGAGAGAGGTGCTAAGGTTTTGAGAGAATAATCCTCTTTCTCTCAAGCTAAAATCGTTGAAACTTTTCAAGGTGTTCACAAATACAATTTGTAAGGGTGCCTTTACTTTTTTGTGTTTTTGGTGATGGGATTCATGAAAAATTTATGAAAATGAGTTTTCGGGTTTGCTTGTTTACAAATACAGTCTGTAAGGGTGCCAGCAAAAAAAATTCACAAAACCCAATAAACTTTTTGTTGGTTTTGCTGGGTTTTTGAATTTGGAATTGGATTTTTGTTGGGTTTTTAATTGGGGGTATTTTTGTAAAATTTCTTACCATATTTTTTTGGTTTTGTACAAGAAATGACAGCATCAACATGGCTTGGCTGGGTACAATTATACAATTCATGAGATATGACAGGAAAAATTAATTACGTTGCCTAAACTCAAAGTTGCTTTTTAGAGCATTTGATTAAACGAGCAGCTAAAATCCAATAATTTTTTTTTTTTGGATTGACTCGGGTCAATTTAGATCAATATATCTGATTTATAACCCAATCATTAAACTGGATTGATTATTAGACCGGGTCTAAATTCCAAATGTTTCAAACAATTATCAATTAGGTCTTTCAATTAATTTCATTAAGAAAACATTGTTCAGAAATTGACAAAAAGGACCCAACTAAGAAATATGAGAAATGTCAAGGACCTACTTGATAAAAATTCTAAGGTTGAAATGCAATTAAAGTGGATGTACACGTTAAATTTAGGTCTCCAATAAAAATCTAATAACGCAAGTGAAGTGATTTATAATTTTTGGAAAATCAATTATAATACACGAACCTAATGTAAATGGATTATTTAAAATCATGTAATAAATATTCAACAACAACAACAATAATAATAACTTATTTTAATCTTATTTTAAAAAAATTCTTATACAACTTTAAATTACTCATTACTTCATTTTTATCACAGTATTTTATAAAATTATTAAAGCATATTATGTTTTTATTGAAACTCTCTTAAAATCATGTAAATTCTCATTCAAAAATACAAAACAAAACAAAACAAATATTTTATAAGATAACTGCGTTGAAAAAGGAAGGAAACGCAAAATTTTGATGAAAATCAGTGAATTAAATGGAAAAAAAAAAAAAACATTTTCCCCTCGATCCAAAATATTTGAGTGGACGCATGGCAACGCACGGGCCACTGACCTAATTACAATATAACATAATGGCAAAGACTTAAAGAACAGGTCCAATCTGGTCATAAGAGCACGAGTTTGAGACTTCGAGCACGGGGAACGACCATTACTATGAGCCGGGGGGGGCCGCTCCTCCTACGATTTCAGTGCCTCTACTACCAAAACAAACCTCGCAAGTCTCCAAAACCAATTTCGAACAAACAAGCATCATCTAGGCGTCAGATCACAGGCTAATTGGATATTTGTGTTTCTTAACTGGTGAGGTTAGAGACAACCATAAATCAAATTAATTGTACAGGGCAATGCAATACTTGATTATCTCCGGTGTGTCAGTTCTGACTGTCAGCCCTCATACAGTAAGCTTAAATATAGGCTAATATCAGGATATTACGGTATAGCTGTACAAAAAAAAAATATTGGTTCATAAATACCTGGAAAGCTACAGATCCTTGTGGTTCTTCCAGTGCCACTGACCTCCCAGCTGGGTCAAATTAGCCCTCAAATCTTCCCACTGTGCTTTCATGGCACAGTTCAACCCAACGACAGGCTTACTCACCACTGTCGGATACTTTTGGATCTTTCCCTGATAAGACATCTGCCTTTTCCTCCACGAGGGGAGATGAAGGCTGCACTGAGTTTTCTGACATGTTCGTTATAGCCATCTCACCACACTGAGTTTGATCATCTGATACAGCTTCCGACCTATTTGATTCCCCTGGAATATTCTGAGATGAGCCCCCTAAGGAAGATGAGGATTTGTCTGTGTTTCCGTATGTATCCTCTGGTCCAATGCTACCAACCTGGGTATGTTCAGACTCCGTACCACCAACTTGACTTTCATATGCCATGCTAGCAACATGGGATTCAACATTTTCTATTTCAGTCCCTTTCGATTCCTTCAATTGTACTGCAATGCTACAAGGACTCTTCTCAGAATAGCCCTCAACCTTGTCCGCATCCATTGAGAGAGAACATGAAGGCTGGCACATGTTATCCAAAGAATCTTCAGGCCCGGTCATAGGCTCACATACAACAATTTGGTTGCTATTTTCAGTTTCAAACTGTTTTGGTTCCTCTGGTGCAAGCAAGATGCTTTGAGAGCTTTTCTCAGACAAGCAATTAACATTTTCTACAGCTGTTTCGGAGGAACATGGCACAACACTAGCCACCAAAGAAGTTTCAGGCACAATTCCAGCCACCTCAGGTAATATCCCTTGACTTCCCTCTTCAATCACGGATGTTTTCAATTTCTCAGCTACTGAGCTGTCAACTTGGTGGTTCTCAGATGAGCTCTTAATCTCAGATTCCTGCATCCCTATAAGAGATGAAGGCATAATTCCATCTATTGCTTGATCCTCGTTAGTTGCAGAGCCTTTAGATGCCTCTAGCACTACTGAGAAGCCGAATGTATCCTTCTCCAACGAGCCCTCGATCATTGGTGCCTCTGAAGCTAAGGATGATCTTGGTGAAACCATGTTCTCTGATGCATTTTCTGGTACTAAAGTATCGGCATGAGATGCATCCAGTTGCTCACCTGCTTCAGCTTCTAACCCTCCTGATTTTTGTAGCGTTACTGAGTGACAAGGTGCACCATTCTTGGATGAGCCTTTATCCTGCTCTTCTTCCTCTAGTACCAGAGAAGATGGTTGGCGATCCAAAATTTCTGGTGCCCTTTCAGACACCTTCTGTATGCCCATCTGATCATCAATTTCAGCTTCGGATCCTTTTTCTTCCCCTGGCACTACTGGATGGCAAGCTAAATCATTCTCTGAACTGCCTTTTAAGTTTTCTTCTGCTTCCAAGGAAGATTGGGGTAGAACTGTGTGTTCCGGTGTAATTTCTGAAACAAAGACATCAGCTTTGGATACATCCTTTTTACTGGTCAGTTGGGCCACAGATGACCTTTCTGGTTCTATTGAGCTGCCAGCTAAACCTTGATCAAATGATCTACTGTCCTTCTCTTCCTCTCCTACCACTAGAGATGAGGGTATAACCGTGTTTTCTGAAAAATCTTTTGGCACAACCACACCAACCTGAGAGGCTTCATTACCTGCTTCAGTTTTGTGTGGCTCCTCCATTACTGCTGAGCTTCCGACAAGACCATTCTCACATGAGCTATCGGTATTTTCTGAAAAATCTTTTTGCACAGCCGCACCAACCTGAGAAGCTTCTGCTTCATTACCTGCTTCAGTTTTGTGTGGCTCCTCCATTACTACAGAGCTTCCAACAAGACCATTCTCACATGAGCCATCAGTATTTTCTGAAAAATCTTTTTGCACAACCGCACCAACCTGAGAGGCTTCTGCTTCATTACCTGCTTCAGATTTGAGTGGCTCCTCCATTACTACTGATCTTCCAATGAGACGATTCTCACATGAGCCATCAGCAATTTCTTCTTCTCTCACTGGAAGAGAATCTTCTGAAATATCTTGTGGCATAACCCCTCCACACTGAGAAACATCCTTTTCATGACTGGCTCCAGCTGCAGAACTGTTTAGCTCTTGCTCATTGGAAGAAGATAGATACTTAAGTGAAGAGGCCTGGTAATAGCATTTTAATAGTCATCAACTGAATCAATTGACTAGCAGTAAATTCACAAAAAGGCCAAAACTATCCCTACACTTCAATCCAACACAAACACGAATATAATACCAAACTGCCCCTTAAAAAATCTGCAAGTCCAGTTAGTCACAAACCATCGTACAGACAAGGAAACTACACATGGCACAGATAATGGGTAACTAGTCAGCAGAAAAGGTCAAGGCAGTCAGATATCTAATTCAATAAAAGAATGGTGAGATTCTCAATTGATGTGAAGTGCTACACAATTTTGGGTTAAGAAAGTAGAACAAAGAGTATAAAAATATAACTAAATGATACAAAACTCTAAGCCCTTAAGCAGACAAATGTTTTGGCAAATATAGCTTTTTCTGCATAGTTTTTCCAACAACCAAATATCTTTTTTAAAAAAACAAAATCAAAGTGAAACCTCCATGTGGTAACCAGCACCTAAGAAGAAAACAAAGAGAAAACTCAATGGCGTTGGAAAAATCTAACACCTAAGGAGAGAGCAAAGAAAACTGCAAATGTTCAGGGGTCCCAGGCAATGTTGTCAAGTCTAGTGAACATCCCCAAAATACATGGAAGACAAATTGACCTTAAAAAATTATCCTATAATAAGAAAGATAGCAGATGGAGTCTCTGTCTAAAAGAAAAAAACAAGATAAGAAAAACAGAATAAAAAACACACCTCTGATACGGGGGGGTCAATTTGCATATTGCAGACCTCCTCACCCTTGACCTTGGTTTTGTCAACCGATTGAGTTTGAGCTTGAGCTTCAACGTTTATGGTTTCAAGAGAAGATTCTGGGGACTCTTTTGGAGAAGGCTTATTACTACTTATAGATACACCATCAGCTACAATATGGATATTTTTTGCATCTGAATGATCTGCAGTAAGAGTAACTGTCCCTTTGGAATGATAATCAATACCATCAGGTTTCACAGAAAGTGTAGTGTTGCCGAGCTTAACAACATCTGGAGAAGACCCAGGAGATGCTTTTGAAGCCTCTGTTCTGTTTCCAGAGTCACTCCCAGGATGTTCCGTTGCATCAGAAACAGATTGGGTGACCACGGGAGGATTGCCACCATCACCAAGAAGACCTTCATGAGCAGATCCCAGAGAAGGAATATTGTCCATTTCACAAGCATCAAAAACTGAATGTTTGACCTTCATATAACTCCCTGTGATTGGGTTTTTGGTTGAAGCCTGTATTGTGTCTGTCATTTTTTCAATGGGGCCATGGCTGGTATTGCTTTCTATTGTAGAGACATCAATTTCTGAAATATGAGCCTTAGCCAAATCAGAAGCATTATCCCCTTCCATTTTGACACCATCTCCAGACCCAGACTGTTTAGAATCATCAATTGAACTCATAACTGGAGCTTCTGCTTCTGAAGCATTATCCCCTTCCATTTTGACACCATCTCCAGACCCAGACTGTTTAGAATCATCAATTGAGCTCCTCATAACTGGAGCTTCTGCTTCTAAAACTGACACAGCTGAAAGTGCTTTACAATCCAAGCTTCGGTCTTTTGCCACCTCCACAGACATCTTACTTGATGAAGGGGCACTTCTAACTTCAACTCCAGAATAGTCACCACTTTTAGTTTTTGAAGAGCAAGTCTCGGAAAATATCTCCTTCATCACGCGAGCAACATCAGTTACATCAGAGGTCTGAATTTGGCCAAAAGCTGGAATCCCACTAGCTTCTTTCCTTTTTGGATCTTGACCAACTAAACCACTGGGAACACATGCTTCCTGAAAGTAAAAAGGAAAAGCAAAGCAAAAACAAAACAAAGTTGTTGAAAATGATAACAGCAAATTAAAAAAATATAAGCGATGGTTTAGCGTTAAAGAGTGGATATAATAAGACTACAACAAAAATAAGAGGTTTGGCATTAATATCGCAAATAATTATATCCAATTGTATTACTAAGATAGCAACCAATGATATCGTACTGTACCAAATCACCAAGTTACATAATACCTGAACCACATTCTTCAACTCCTTGAAATCATTCCCTTGCCCGCTCCTCAAGGACATGGCCATCCCCCCTAATGAATCTCTAGACTTATTTTGCGTTTGAGCATTTATAATGGGATCCTGATCAACTGAAGCATCCACAGCAAGTGAAACTGAACCCTGTTTCTTTCCTCTTCGCCTTGGTGTTTCCACTCTGGTAGGAGCTTTACGACCTTGCCTTTTAACTTGCATTGCTTCAGGAGTATTAGATTGAAAGATTGGAGTAACAGAAGGATAAGATGAAATTTCCTGAGAGCAAGAAGCAATCTTTGGAGTAAGCTGATGCACAGTTTTGCCAACACTTTCTACAGTAGAACTCAGTGATGACTCCATTGGAGGACAAACCACCGGGGAAGGTTTATCCTCTGAGCTTTGATTATGGACCACCTCTAGAAAGAGGTTACTTGGCAGAGGCGTAGACAGGATAGCTCCACCTTCATTCCTGGAGACTTCACCTACTTTAGCTTTCAAAGAGCTATTTTCTGCTGAAACCTCCTTTGTCACAGAAACTACATCTTGCATATCAGCACCATGTATTTGTCCAGACGAGCCTGCACAAGCTTTGAGTACCTCAATTTCAGTAGGCAAGATATTATCAATTATTTTCCATTGCATCAGTTTCAATTCCATTTAGATTTTGAGAAGTCTTACCCATAGATCTGGTAATACCATCATGTGTTGTCGGAGAGCAGGCAGGTTGCCTATGCTGGGCTACATCATCTGAATGCTCAGTTGCTTTTTGGTCCTGGCCAGCTTCTCTGGACAGTTGCTCCTGGTTAACATCCCTTTCCAGAGTATTATTTTGTTGGCTACTAATCGTGAAAATAGCTTTGCTTCCTGATGATTCCCCAGATTTATCCTGTGAAAGTGTTGGATTGGATTTTGAGAGCTGACCATCTGAAACATCTGTTACTGGCACCTCTTTCCTTCCTCTGCGTCGAGGTGTTCCAGTGCCACTTTGAGTCTTCTGGTTTTGCCCTTTAACTTGCATAGGAACTGAAGGACTAGGAGCAATGGATTGAATGATAGGGGAGATGGAAGGGTTAGCAGGTTTTGGTTCAGAATCCAAAGCAGTCCCAGGCCCAGAATGATGAGTGGTTGCATTAGTACCCTCCACAGCAGCAGAACCAGGTAAATTAATAGGATGCTGTGACATGGGAGCACTAGAAACAGTTCCACCCATGGCAATAATTGATGGATTGACAGATACATTCACTGATTGATCATTTATATTTGGATCAGGAACAGCAAAACCAGAAGGAGTTGATGAAATTGCCACCTGATTCTTTCCTCTGCGCCGGGGTGTTTGAACTCCACCTTGAACCTTCCGACCTCGACCTCTTGATTGCAATGGCATGGAAAGGGAAGCAGGTGTAGTTTGTGAGCCAAGTGTAACAGAAACTGGAGTAATTGGTTGAGGACTGGGCAAAATCCCTGATCCTGAATGAGGTGTGGCTCTACTATTACTTCCTAAATTAGGAACAGGAGAAGAATCAGGAGCAGAGGTTTTTGAGGAGCAAGACTCCATTCCTTTCTGTAACTCTGTATCGATTTTGCCAGTTCCAAGAGGTACTGAGAGTGCCATTGCAGCTGGAGCTTTATCTAAAGTTGCTCTTCTTGGCCTTCCACGACCCCGTTTTGATGGCGTTACCTCTTTGCTCTGCTGCAGAGGGAGAGGTTCCACAGATGGTGGCGGAGGGAGAGGCTCCACAGATGGCTGCAGAGGGAGAGGCTCCACAGATGGTGGCGGAGGGAGAGGCTCCACAGATGGTGGTGGCGGGGGCAGTTGTGGTGGAGCTTGAGGTTCTGATCTACCAATAGCCAATATAGATCCACTAGCATCTTTCAGCAAGTTCCTCTCTCCAGTTTCTTCTTTCCTCATGGGAGAATCGGGAGATTCAGCCTCACACATCTTCTCAAATTCCTCTTCTGTCCATTGCTCTTCATAAGAGCGTACCTAACAGAGTGAGACCAAAATCAAGAGAAATGGATAGAGAAGGCATAATATACTAGCACATTAGATGGCACATGCTCTGATTACAAGAGTCAGATATAAGCAGCAAACCTCTCTAGCTCGCTTTCCCCTTCCATACTGCTGAGTATCAAGGCTCCCGAGAGACTGCCCCTTCCGCTTCACTCCTGCATTGGATTCTACCCCAGCCTTAGGCACATCATACAAATTCATCGCTTTATAGAATGCTTTCAGGTCATCATCTGTTACAAGGCGTGAAGGCAAAGGAGGCAGATGTTCCAAAGCATCCATCCCTTGTCCCAATAACAAATTCTTCCATGTTGCCTGCACAATTAGAAGTTTTAGTTAGTCGATGAACCAGAGCAGTTAAGCCACAAGTGCAGGCATATTTATCCATACCATCTCTTTTGCCTGCCTTTGTTTGTCAACTGATTCAAATACATCAATCTCTGATTCACTGCCAACATAAGTTTTAACAAACATGAAAATCTCACAATGTAATTCAACAGATCAGCAGGGATATAAATTCAAATTTCATTTCCAAAATAAATTATTAGCCTTCCAAAATAAGCACCGCTAAGATAGTGACTGGTGATTAAACACAGCCTTTAAAGGAATTAGAATGGTCAGGAATAATCACTAAAATAATCACTAAGGCAAAATTCCTCCTCTTATATAAGTTGGAATGTTATTCAGAAAGCTGCACTTACCTGCATGAGAGCACCCAAGCTTTTTAAGACAGTGGATTATCCTTATCCTCACTTTACAATAATTCAACTTTCTTTTTAACCAATATAATGTACTGATTAGAAAACCAGAGGATACATTTTATTTGATGATGATAAAAAATGAAAAGCCTATACAATCCAACTGGGGATCAGCTACAAAAACCAACTCAGAAGCCCCAGAAGCAAAGCAACATGAAGCAAAAAGAACTAATGTCAGAGGTATCTCCATTTGATCAGCGACAACAAGATACAGTTAAAAGAAAACAAATTTGAGTCTATCATAGAACATTTACTTCTTATTAAAAAATCTTAATTTATTCAATAATGGACAAAATAGGTAAGTTCAGAAATAGTTTGTTTTCATTAAAGCTTATATATCATTTGTGAAAGATTTCCTGCCACGCCAACTAAATCATAGTTTTCAACCATGCGAACAAAGTTCTATATAAATTAAAAAATTACAAACGTGCAGCATCTTGTAAACCATACTTTATATTATATGGGTTACCTGTCACAACAAAATGGACTGCTGACTGACAAATACAGCAAACTTCGAAAAAGATTTACCTGCGAGCTAAGAGATCATTTAGAGCATCATCATCTAATACAGGGGCAGCCTCCTCTTTCTTGCATTCTCGCAGGAGGGACTCCAAGTATTCCCTTCTATCTTCTGCACTGTAAAAATTAGACAGAAACTTTCTCCAGAGCATTAGTTAAAAACCCTTTAGAATAATTTTAAGGAGCAAGCACTTAAACAAATATTCATTAACCTTGTGTTGTTGTCAAAGAAACCAGCAGTAATACTCTGATTAGCAACTCCCAGTTTATGCTCAGCTGAAGCTCTGACTTGTTCTTCAACAGTTTGGACCTTATGGCAATTGAAATGGTTGGGAATAAGTTAAAAAATACAAATAAAGAAACATACATCACCTTTCACAGCCTTTGAAAACTTTAAAATCCATGGTTCACATCAGCAGAAATTAGGAGCAAATACATGAAGACTATCCTAGCATTCTCTATTTTATTTGCCCCTCAATCCTTTAGCTTTGGATCTCGAACTTTCAAACCCAAAATCACAGCTGAATTAATTACACTTAAATGATAAACTACGCTAGGAATCACCATTTCATATCCCTCTAAACCTATTGAGCTTAGTTTTCCAATTAATGAAAAATCATTCAGAAATTATCCCTGTTTTTTCCTCTTTAGAAAACCCAAAAAAAAAAGATGAGAACACTGCATATTCACCAATATTTACAACCTATGATTGTCTGGGAGTCCAAATCAGGGATTTTGATGATAAGAAATTTAGATGTCAATAAGGCATAATAGAAAGCACTACAAAAACTTTTGTAAGAAATACACAACTCCATATACAGATGCTCATTCTGTTCCAGAGCCTATGCCTTCAGACACTGCTCTAGAGTAATGGTAGCATCCCAAACTTCAAAACAAAACAAAAATATAAAGGAAGGAAACGAAGGGTACCATCAAAGATATTCTATAAGAAAAATAAAGCACAACCTGCCTCCCTGAGCAAGCTGAACTAATTGCCAACAAGGCCAAAGGTTGCAGGTGGAAGAATCTTCCTTGAAATCACATAGCAAACAGAAATAGTGAAGGAAGACGAGATTCATTAATTAAGTAGTTTATCAGCACAATGTTTCTTTTTTGTGTTCTTTAGGCTTTCCTAAGGACAGGAAAAAGTAATATCCAACATTCAAAGCCATCCAACGAAAAAAAGAAAGAGATGGCATTTATGAGATCAGTTCAAACCCTCAGCAACCATTGTGAAGGAAACTATGCCAATACCGATCATTTTAAAGTCTCATGGGATCAGTTCAAACCCTCAGCAACCATTGTGAAGGAAACTATGCCAATACCGATCATTTTCAAGTCTCATGGGGCCATGCACCCAGCCTCCCAAGTTCAACATATTTCATTGGAAACCAGAACAAGTTAACATAAAAATCTCAAATATTCATATTTCCAAAATCATTGCATCTACATGCAATAGTTTGAATAGAAAACAAGGGAAAATGGAGAAATTACTGTTTCAAATCGAAGAACCAGCACCTCCCTCTTCTGGCCAATCCTATGAGCCCTTGCTTGTGCTTGGAGATCAACCTAATAAAGTACCAACATAAAAACTAGACCAGCTTTAGAATCAGTAACCCAGATAAAGAACAAATCAAGGCGTCGTGACTTCATTTAAGACCTGAGGATTCCAGTCAGTGTCAAATATGATCACAGTATCAGCAGCTTGAAGGTTCACTCCAACACCACCAGCCCGAATGCTAAGTCCACATATTTAAAATGTCAGGCTTGTGGAAATTAATAAAACATAAGCACAAAAACACACTTGTATTCAATATGCTGGGCACATCAAAGCTTTTTTAGATTTAATGCCATTTACTATTACCACGCAATCACAGTAATAAAAGTGAAACAATAAGCTGTACACATTCAACTTATTATGTCTTGTTGGAGTACCATACGGTCACAATATACATGGATTCCTTCCTCCAATATCCCATCTCCATGTGTACTCTCTATTTTAAGAAGAGGCGAGAAAAGGTACATAATGCAAATTATTAAACATCTAGAAACCATAATTCACTCCCACCTGCAATATGCTAATCTCCAATTACCGGTCTCCCCAATAGATAGATTGCTTGACAAACAATGCCCAGTATAATTTTAACATCAAAAATAAAAATAAAATTCCCTCTCCTATCTCAATCTCTTCCAACGCTCTAACCCTAACATAACTACCTTACTACCACACCCTGGTAAACACCAAAAAGAGAATCTAAAACACCAAGCATACATGATATTGAATCACCAGGACAAAAGCATAAACTAGGGAAAATCTGGTCGGTTAGAAAGAAAGATCTAAATATAAAGTACATATCACAAAATGATCACCTTAGCAAGAAAATAAAATATGGAGAATCTTGTTGGTTAAAACTGTCAATGAGCGAACCACGGTCACCTCCAGAGGTATGACCATCCAAGCGAAGGTATCGATACTGTTTCCAAGTGAGATACTCCTCCATAACATCAAGCAGCCTGGTCATTGTGGAAAAGAAAAGAACCTGTATGGACCCAGCAAATGGCAAATACTCAATACTGGAATATTACCAGATTCAAAACTAAAATGCATGGTAATAGAAGTACACGAATCAACAGTTCTTTCTTTTATGAAGAAAACAAGATTGAGATGTTTAGCATGCATTTTACCAAAATTAAGAAGAGGTAACAGGAGAAAATCTAGAAGCACCTGAATATTTACCCAAAATTAACCATTTTAGAGAAAATCTCAACAATCAAACCACCCCCCACCCCCAACAAAAAAGAAGATAAAAAGGCAATCCACCTGAATAATTTCACATGCTAAATAACAACAAAGCCTCCTTGAGTATCATACTTTATGCAAATCCAGCACTAAATAATAACAGCAAAATGGTAACAATCCTGCCAGGAACTAGTACGTTTACTCAAGAAACAAAACGAACTTCAGGCAAACATTAAGTGGCAGAATTAATACAAGGATATCCATACCCGATGGTCTGTTGCTTTCAGTTTGGGTAGCAATCGGTCTAGCATCTCAAGCTTTCCACAAAGTCTAATAATTGGTGGCAGGAAATGCATAGGTATCAAAGTATCAACCTACAAAAGGCAATTCCATATTGAGGTTAAGATAGAGAAAGCAAACCGATATCAAAATGGAGACATAAGATCTTTAACCCAGGTTCAGCTCCCAAAAGGAATAATAAAAAGGCATGGTAAGTATTTTCAAGAAGATGAACTGAAATCATCATAACAGAATTTTCTTTTCCTTCTTCCTGGAGAGTTTCAAGATTCAAATGAGCCAAGACAAAAAAGAGAAGAGCATGCCTCATCTGCATGAAGCTGGCTAAGATATGGGTGATTGCAAATGTTACGAAGCTCCATGACTGAGTTGTGCACTGATCGAGCCTGCATAAGGTAAGTCTTCCACCATTAAATAATGGTATTACTTTTTAGAGCCTACTGTTCATGAAGTAAAACCATTAAAAGTGAGGAAACAAAATGTATGGTAGGAGACCTTTGGATTTCCAATTGAGCCAAGATTCTCTTCCACCCTTTTCATTAGAAGCTTCTGATATGCAGAAGCCTCACACCTAACAAGTCTCTCAATCTTTTCGGGCAGCTCATTCTCAACCTAACAAATGAATTTGAGAATGCAAGCAAAAATATGAGAATAAATCCCAAAACCAAATTCTCATGTCTGACCAAAAAAAAAAATCCCATGTGATATTTGGTATGCATACATTCAGGTTTTTCAGTATACATAATATACAATAATTTTAAGGACCTTGTGTTTCAGTCTCCGAAGTACAAATGGTCGAAGAACTTGGTGGAGACGATTTATAATCAACAAATTTTCTTCCTCAGAAAGTAAGGCCTGCACATGCACATAGCAAGTGATGGTTATGTAATATCAGCAGGAAAAAAGCTCACAATAAAGTGAAACTCCTCAAAAATAGAATAGAACAAGTCAAAAGGCTTACTTCATCGGCTGAATTATCACCATTACTCTCAAATGGTTTGTTGAACCACTGAGAAAAATCCTCTGCTGAGTTAAATATGTTAGGTAGCAAAAAGTTGAGCAGCGCCCACAATTCCTCAAGATTGTTCTGCACAAGAGAAAACAATAAAATCAAATTAGAAATCAAATATGCAGAAAAATGTCAAAGGACAAATGTACAAGGAATGATTCTGTAACAAGGGAAGACCCTTTATATATTTTAAACCAATGTGCAGAAAGAATATAAACAATCAATCCAAGAAAGAACAGAACAGAACAAGGGAGGAAAATTTGTTACCTGTAGTGGTGTTCCAGTTAACAACAACCTGTGGGAGCTCTGATAATGCTTCAATTCAGCATTCAATTTGCAAGAAGCATTCTTTATGCGATGGCCTTCATCAATTATTATATAGTGCCAATGTATCTTGCTCAGTTTCGGCCTATCATGCTTGTTCATCAGATATTCATATGTCGTCAAAAGGACATTGAATTTCTGATGCACAATCTTTTCCCTGAAAACAAAATAATGGTTGCACTTACACTTACAATTCAACAATAGGGACTATAAAAAATAGAGTCTCTTGGTCTGTTTATTATTACTTAAATAGCCTGCGCCTCTCCTCTGGAGGCCCGGAATAGACAATTTTAAGGATTCCAGGTGCCCAGAAATTGATTTCAGTCTCCCAGCCAGGTAAAACTGAAGAAGGTACAACCACCAAGAAAGGCCCTCTATCATTTTTTGTTTCCATCAGGTAGCAAATTAGAGAAATAACCTACCAAAAGAAAAGAATTGCTAGATTACTGGAATATATTCAACAAGGAAACGGTATGACAACAAAGAAAACTTAATACAAACTGACAAGCAAGTCATAACAGATTATATGAGGGCCATAGAAATTGATCAAACATGAAAAGGTAACTGCCACGTTACTTTGTATGAAAATCTTTGGATTATGTGTTTGTTTGGACAGCATTAGACAGAAGGAAAAGGATATATTAACTACAACAATTCAAAGAGAACTTGTACCTGAACAGTTTTCCCAAGACCCATTTCATCAGCAAGAATGCCATTCAAATGATTGTTGTATAAGGAAACCAACCACCTTAGTCCATTCATTTGGTACCTGAATCAAAACCACAACTTGAGAAATTTAAAGCTGGAGACTGACCACGGAAAGCTTAACCTGTGTCTTCCAAAAGGATCATTAGTGTCTGATCAATTAACATTCTACAATATCCTTATCACTACACCGAATGATACATGCAGTATTTGAGAAACATAGGTTCTACTCACTCCCTTAATTTTCCGCCCTGTAGACAAGTTGGCTGTTCTGCAATGCTTTCCTTGACACTGCACAAAACAATGTCCAAAAAAAAACCCTTAAAATAACATAAAAATTGAATTAAAAAAAGAGATAGGAGAGTAGCTCACAAGAAATTCAATGTCAAAAAACAACCTTGTAGAGGAGAACATCATAACATTTGAAGGTAAGCAAAATAGAAACAAGAAATAGGAAAAGGAAGCCTGAAGCCCCCAACAAGCATGATATCAAATGGTTAACTTAATACACTCACTTTTCATAAAAGATAAATTGTTTAAGCAAGTGCAGAAAATGACAGTGCACCTTAATGCGTAATGCATACAAAGAAACACCGAAATAAAAGGAAGGTGAAAAGGGAAACTACTGTCAAAAATCAATCAGATATAAGACTCCGATCTTAAGCAGCAAATAATATCAACAAAAAAAATTAATGAAAAGATAACAAAAGGTATTCCTACCTATGAGCCATCAAATAGTACTTCTCATTGCTTTCCATGTAATGCTGCAAAGCAGATCAACAAACATGAAATGAGAGGAAAAAAAATAAGCAAGCAAAATATAAGATGGAATGGGCCCAAAAAAACAAAAAACAAAAAAACCAGAGAAAGCCAAGCAGCCTGCCTTGGCCTGGTCGCTTTCATCTTCATTCTCAGCAGCTGTTTCATTCTTCTCCACAAAAGTAGCAGTTCGTGACTCATCCATATCATTCTCAAATCTGCTTGCCATAGACTTTGCTTCCTGTAGCTTGGAACCCAGCTTCTGTAGATACTTCTCCGTCTCCTTCAGCAGTTGCTTAACACGGTCTGATTTTGCATCCTGTGCAATAGGCAAAAGGAGTGAACATAGGATACCAGCCTCACATCAGAAAAATTGGCAAGCCAGATCTAACCTGCACCATTCGCAGATACCCCTCAACATCATTGATTTTCAATAAATTAATCTTCTCACGCTGGATTCTGTCAATCTTCTCCCGATGGGTACGCTCCTTCCTTTTATGGAACTCTTTGACATATTTATTGAAACCTTTCCAGCGTTCTCTCTTAATCTTAAACACATCATCCAGTCTTTCCCTATATTTAGGTAAACAGTGCAAAAAAGAAAGATATTTTAACTGATGCAAGCCATTGGACAGAAGAAGACATCCAACACAAAGCATTTAAACAAAAAAAGAGTTAAAAAAATAAAAGCAGAGTCAAGCAGGGCAAGTGAAGTAAATCAACCCCAATAAAAACATACTTGTGAACTTCTATCTCATCAAAGAACTCCTTCTGCCTTTCACGTATCCTCTTTTGTCGTTCTTCCTTCATTTTCTGCTCGTGCTTTTCAAGTTGTCTGATCCTCCTACCATGCTTATGTTTCTTGCATGATTTCAATCGATCCATGTCATTTGTGATAGGCTTAAAAAAATCATTGAGAAAATCACTGCCCAAATTTACACAACAACAAGGTGTCAAAGAAAACAATAACTTAAACAAAACAAGGCAAAATCAGCTAGACATGTGATAAACATCATGGTCTGATGACAAATCAAGATAAAATATACACAAGCTAAAAACATATAGCAAAATTAGGGAAAATAATCACCTTCTTAGACGGCGTTGAAGCTCCAATAGCTGAAGCTTTTTCAATTCTATTACACTTTTGGTTTTTGCAGATATGTCTTTGGAAAAGCTAACAGTTTCCTGTGTGGTAAATATAGGAGGGGGAACAAAGCATGTGAGTAAAAACCAGCCCAAAGGAGCAAGAGGGAGAATTGGTAATGACAATAAGATGGCAAACCACCAAGCAACCAAGGAGAAATCTTCAAACAAACCTTTAACTTGTAAAAACAAGTAGAGATTCTTTGTTTTGTTCTCTGCTGTTTTAAAACCCAATTTTGCTCAGTTAAAAGCTTCTTCCTCTGATGATCCATAATCCATTTCTCTGACATGGTGTACTTTGGAGAAGGTTGTGAATCAGTAGAAGCTGACCTATCTTCATCATCTTGTTCTGTTGTAAAAGAGATGCCATTTCTTAATGAAACATCAACTGGAACAACCTTGTACCCATCTGGAGTGTATCTTGTTTGAAATTCAGATAACCTTGAATCATCTGCAAGCAAAAATTAACAGAAATGACATGAAAATCACAAAAGCAGTTCACAGGATATTGTTTGTTCTAGAAAGTCAAATCCCCTGCGAAGGCAAGTGTTTCATCACACCATCTGCATTCTTCATTAGAGCCACCATGGGCTGATCATTGTCAACACCTGATCTAGGATCCCAATGCTCATTTAGTGAAATGCAATAGGAACCGTTATGACCAGATTTGTTACCTGAAGCAATACTGTTGCCAAGACTGTGAAACTGACTAGAAGCATTATCTTTTCTGTCTGGAACCAACCCAAGCTGAACAGAGCGAAATGGAAGAGATTGATTGCCAATGCCAGTCCAGCTAACTGCCTCAAGGTTTGCCTGCTTATTTACAAATGATGTTGAAGAAGCATGGTCAGTTTTTCCAACTTGCAGACAGGAGTTCTCCATGCCGTCCACAGGGTTACTCAAGAGTAAACCACCCCTTGCTGAATCAGGCTGCTGCATTGCAGAAGGAAAAAATCCCTGTGACTCCACTGCTTCTTGACTTTGCATTTCAGCATCCAGTTTTCTTGTGGAGAGCAGATATTTCCTCTCATCTGCAAGAATCAAGGGGTCAGAAAGTGGGTCCTCCACCATTTTCAGTGTATCAGCTTCTTTGGGGACACAGTTTCCATCCAAGAATCTTGCCCCAGAACCTGGAAGCACTTTATCAGATTCCTTTGGATTATTCAGCCTTCCACATGACATTAAAACGTCAGGAATGCTGATTGACTCATTAGAAGATTGTGCCTTTCCTTTATAATCAATCAGCTCTTTCCGAGGACCATCCAAATTGCCACCTGATTGTCACCAAGTGAAAAACAATTGCTGAATAACAAAAACAAGAAAATAATAAATACAACAACAATTGAAAATATATAGCAAATAGATCAAGTGGAAATGATCATGAGACCCTGGTCCAGGTCAGGCTGTCATGGCGGCATGATGCCTTGGCCAAAGCCTAGCCCCACCCACGCTTACTTATAAAGCCCAAGAACAATCTTAAACACAAGTTAAGCCAGCATGTTACGTATGTTTTCTTTTCACATGGGAGGCCAGCCTTCACAGAATTTTGTGAGTCAAGGCCAGCCACAAACTTGAATTAACAAGCAAGATTCCCTGTCCAAAACCTAGCAAATTTAGCCAGGACTACTAGCATGGCCAAGTAGTACCGTCCATGATAACCTTTAATCATGAGTTCTTACCATCTTTAGAAATGGCATTTCCAAGTGCTATGTCCAGATGAAGTTTCTTTGGCATCAAATCATTTCTGTGACAAAGAAAACAGGAGGAAAAAAAAACAATTAAAACCAGTAGAGCAAAAGAAAGAGTTATCAGCATATATCCACAACTAGAAGGACAAGAACAAGCTCAAGAAGCAGTGCTATCCACCTGAATGCTAAAAAGACAAGGCACTGAGCTCTGAGTTGTCTCAGCTGCTGTTCATTGAAAGGCATGCCAGACAAGGCAGAACCCTGGAAAACAGGAGATTTTCCCACATCTCTAGGGGATGTTGATCTAATCATTGTCAGTTCTGAATTACTAGTTTGCCTGCCACCCTGGTGATGAGAGAGAACATCAAAATGAAGAGGAGGGCCAATACATGACAACTCAGATAGCAGAGTTTAGAATATTGTGAATCATGATCATAAATGATGCATGATGAGACATTATATTTCATAATTCTAAAATTATTAGAGCAAACATTAAATGCTATACACCACTGCAGGAGAGAAAATGAATTAACATCTGCCAATCTGTCATAGCATGGACTGTACAGCACAAACAAATGAAAGCCAAAACAGGCTAGTCCGAAGACTATCATTCAACAACAAGGTTTCATTTTGTCTAGAGATGGAAAGCCATAATGATATTATGGGAAGGGGAAAAAAATAAATACCTGGACAATTTTACTTGCCTCTGCAAACATGTTTGAACTGCCTCCGTTTTCTAAAATCTTTCCAGTTGAAAGTGAAGTTGGAAAGTCATCCACTCGGTTAGCAGCAAAAAAGTGGCCTTCTGATGTTTTCTCGGCAGAACTAGGTACAGCACCCTTTGTCAGTCCATGTTTCTGATGTTCAGAACTACTGTATTGAACAGGACCTGCAAATCCTAGCTCCCCTATGGCCCCTGTTGGATTCGAAGTGACAGGCATCCCTCCATGAACCTTGGTAAAAGCACCTAAAACATCGGTAATACCAAGTACCATATCACTAACCAAGAATTACTTACATAAAATGTTTATTATCTTTCATGAGAAATGCTTGAACCCCCAACAAAGGTTAATCATTCCATTAAGTTCCTTGCAGAACAGAAGACATCATTCCATAAAATAAAAAAACCTAAGTGATTCAATTTTAAGTTTTTCCTCACCGATTTTGGACCTAGTTACAGTTGGTACAAATACTGCTTTTCCCGCCAAAAAAGACCAAAAATATGTTTTCCATCCAACCATGTTCCTTTAATTAGATAGTTTACTTTAATCCTTACTTGATCCAAGAGATGAAATTGCTGACTGCTGCAATTGAATTTCTGCCGTTGTATTGCCAGAAACAGCATTAGAAGAGAACCTCGGAACATGGGATCTTTCAAGGGGTAACCCAGCTTTATTTTGATTCCACATCCCCCTAGAAGTGAGACTTTCATGTGCAGATGGAAGAGAGCCCCCTTGCTGTTGTCCTGCAGACACAAAAGAAGACGAAACTTCCAGCTGGCCACTATTGGGAACCTTGTTAAAGCTGGTATTTTCACCACCTCTAACTGGATAACCCCCTGGAGAGTCAACCTTGTTCATTTTCCCCCTCCTTGGATTGACTATGGTATTGCGTGGATTAAGTTGCTGGGGATTGTCGCCATGCATTTCTGAGTGCAAAGATGAATCAACCCTCTTCCTCTTAGCAGCAGCCTTTTTACCATCCTTTTGATTAACTCCTCTTTCTTGGGATTGTGAATTGGCAGACCTGGTGTCCAAACTAGAAGGACTTTCATGATCAAATGACTGACTGCTCCTTTGAGTTCCAGATCCTTGGTAGTAATCATGACCTGCGGTGCTTGGGCCAACAGGAGGCCTGCTGGAAGCAAAGGTGTCGATTTTGGATATCTCATTTTCAGCCGGTCCTGCTTTAGAGTCTTTCCCAACTCCAACTGCCTGTGAAGATCCTGTATGAGGGTATATTTCTTAATGATTAATTCAATATGCTACACCCAAACACAATAGCTATAATAAAAAGATTCACCAGACAGGACTGAAGCAATTTGAACAAAATCATTTTACCTCCATATTGTGCAGTCGAAGAATCCCCCATTTGAGTTCCACTGGTCAATGGAAGGCGTGATGACCTCAAAGCTTCAATATCAAGACCATGTTGATTGATGACAGTCTCCATGGCCCTTAGTTTAAGGAAAAATGTGTCAGAGAAACCAGTCCACAAGAACAAGTAGAGTAAAGAAGAATCTCAACTAAGGGGTTGCACTTTTAGCCACAACTGTGATTATGACAGAACACACAGAAATGGTGGAATATTAAAGAGTTGAAACTTTTACCATAACTGTGACGATGACAGATCAGACAGAACTGGTGGTATAACAGATGACCAAAAAAAACATGGATAGAGAGATAAAAATAGGGGCATCAGAGAAAGTCTGAAAAGAAACCGCTCAGAATAGTCTTGAAATCCAATGGTGAATTGCACAACCAACTGCTATGGTACTAGAGTACAGATTATCTAGTAACAACATATTCATAAAGGAAAGAGCCCCCGGCTGCAAACATTATTCTATTTAAGTTTAATGTTTCAAGTTTGGACACACTTGCGTTGAGAATGCAGGGTTCAAACTAAAGTTCATTCTGAAACAAGAAACACTGGGACTTAAAAAGCTGTAAAATCTCAATATATATCTTTAACTTCTCTACCATAGTCGTATCAGTGCAATCTTAGTAACCAGATGACATATTAGAAGTCAATGGCCAGGCATATGGTCATCACTTCCTGAATCAAGATTTTAAAAGGAATCAGGTTACGATCTCACTAAAGAGAAAGTATATAAAATCCATGTCTTCTTGTAAACTCAGTTACTATTAATTATCACCTCAACTAGCTTAATTTAATATATCAGCCTAGACATGACAAGAATAAATGTTCAGCAATCCCAGAATCTTCTACAATGACTACGCAGTAGAAACATGGCATCTTCAAAAACAACAACAAAAAAATACGCAGCCAAAATATTTCACCTTGATATTACTTGATACGGCATTGAATGCTCCTTCCCGCTTGATTTCATGTGTTGCAATATCTGAAACACGCAAATATAATAAGTTCAAACATAATTACCACACAAATTTCAATCATGGTAAAATATATATATATATATATATATATAAAAGACACACACCACGTAGAGTTTTGTCGCCAGTTTTGCCGGCTCATCTTTAGAATCTTGAATGAGTTTGTGAAGAAACTTCGCCGCTTCGAACTCCACATTTTGTGAAGATTGTGAAGACGTCATCTCATTTCAGCTTCAAAAATCTAGTTAGAAAAAATCAAGAATTAATATTAATTAAACAAATACACTAGGCTTTTTCGAAAAAACAATTTTACATACAATTATAAACTATTTTATCAAATTCGAGAACAACAGGGAAGTATGAAAATTTGAATTCATATGAAGATCGAAAGACTCCCAAAATCTATTAATATTAAAAATAATACTAAAAATTAACCCTACTTCACGCACACAAACACGAAAACATAACCTAACATCTCAAAAAAACTACTAATTGAATTTTCTTGTGTAGAGAACTAGTGATAAGATTCAAATTCAGCTTTATGAGCGACGATTTTGCTGGAGAATTCAATTTTGTGAAAAGCTTTTTTCGCGAGAAAGAGAGGAATAATAGGTAGAGACTATGAGGGGCAGGGAAAAGGATAAGATTACCAGAAAATCAAGTACGAGTAGGGAATTGCAGGGAATGATAACAGCAGAGAGTGATCCACATAGAGAGATTGGTGCTTTCTCTCAAATGTTGAAGTAAAAAAAACCCTCAATAGACAATGGGGGAGTTCCTTCTGCAATTAGTAACCGAGGCCTCAGCCCTGGGAGCCCACCGCACGAGGGTCATTTGTCTGGCACGTGCGGTTTTTTAGGTGCGCCAAATATTTATATATATATATATAAAAAAAAAAAAATAGAGCTGCGTTTTCTAAAAGGAAATAATAAAAATAATAATTTTATGGATTGCAAGAAGGAAGTGTGTTTTGTAATGCTTTGCTTTGAAAAACTCAGGATCATTTGGTATAGTTTTGATTTTTTGTTTTTTGAAAAAAATTGTAAACATTAAAATTGACAGCAGGTTGTCAATTTGTTTTCAAGTCAAATATAAATTATTAATAATACTTTAAAAGACATTGGAGGAAAAGTAATGTAACTTCTTCACTTCTTCATGCTTTTTTATTTTTAATATAGTTATATTTTTATTTTTTTATTTTATCTTTTTATATATTTGTTTTTCTTTTTTCTCATGATTGCTTTTAAAAAAAATTGTATGTTTTTTAAAATTATTTTTACTAATTTTTTTAATTAAACTGGTTGAGAATTTAACTATGTTATTTAAAAAAAATTGAATTGCTATAATATTTTCTTATATAATTTTTTTATAAAATGATTTATTTTTATTTTTTTCATATTAAACTAGTTGAGAATGACTCATTTTTTATATATAAAAAAAACATTATAGATTAACAAGGTATTTTTTCTATGTGGTTATTATTTTGGTAGGATATTTCTTCAAATATTCTTTTTCAAAATTATCTTTATTAAATTTATTTTTTTAATATTGAGCTGGTTGAGAATTTAGTTTTAGCATTTTTCACATGTTTTTTATTCATTTTTTCTCCCAAAATTATATTTTTTTGTTTTTTTCATAATTATTTTTGTTGATTTTATTTTTTTAATATTAAGATGGTTAAGAATTTAACTTTGTAGTTTTTTCTTTAAAATATTGTTGATTACTTCCTGTATGGTTTTTTTTCTTTGTTTTTTTTTCAAAATTGTTTGTCAATTTTAGTTTTTTTTTCATATTGAGTTAGTTGCTAATTTAGTTTTGTAATTTTTTTTTAAACAAATATTGTGGATTACTACAGTATTTTTCCACTTGATTTTTTTTATTACAGTGTTTCCTCACATGTTTTTTATCGATTTTTTCTAAAATTATCTGTATTGAATTTATTTTTTCATGCTGAGCTAGTTAAAAATTTATCTTTGTAGTTTTTTCTTTGAAACACGGTCAATTGCTAAAGTTTTTCTCCATGTAATTTTTTTATTATATTTTTTTTCAAAATCATCTTTATCAATATTATTAATTTTAATATTAAGATGATTGAAGTATATATTTTCTCATGAAACACTATATATTGTTACAGTCTTTTCCCGCGTAGTTATTTCCTTTTGTTTTTTATGATTTTTTTCAAAATTACCTTTATTGATTTTATTTTTTCAATATTAAGCTGGCTGAAAATTATAATTGTATATTTTCTTACAAAACATTATAGATTGTTGCAATTTTTCCCAACATGATTTTTTCTTTTTATTTTTTTATGATTTTTTAAAATTATATTTGTTTATTTTATTTTTTTAATATTAAACTGGTTGCGAATTTAGCATTGTAGTTTATTTTTTCTTGAAAATATTGCGGTTGCAATAGTATTTTTCCATGTAATTTTTAAAAAAATTATAATTTTTTTATAAATTCATGACAACACATAAGTATACTACAAGCCCACAACAACGCGGGGGCATGGCAACTAGTGATTTTTAGAAATTGCAAGTGGTGACTATTTTTATTATTTTATAAAAAAAATATCCAACAAGGTTACTTCTCTATTTATTTTTCAAGAAAACAAGAAGAAATAATAAAAATTATAGATAGAATAAATTGTCTTGAGTATTTTATCACCGTTGCAACTTTGTGATGATTGTTACTGCTATCATTGTAGTTTTAAAACTCAATTAATTAAGTCGATCCAGGACTCCACTGATCCAAGACTATAACCAGGCTGGATTTATAAAAAAATAAAAGTAATTAAAAACTTCGTTGACTTGGCAACTTGTCCCGGTAAAACCCGATCATAAACTCTATTCCAACTTGTTAACTATTATTTTATTTTTTATCAAAATAATATCATTTTAATTTATAAAAAAAATAAAGTTGATTCGGTCAAAATCCTAGCTTCAATGGAGTTTAAAAACATTGGTTATCATCTTATTATTAAAATAATTATTATTATATGTTATTATTATAATCATCATTATCATAATATTATAATATTTATCACCATTATTATTTCTGTTAATAATTTTATTACCACAAATATCGTCACCATAATTATCACCCCTATTTTTACTATTAACAATACAATTTCGTTTTCTTAATTAGTCAAAGTTTTAGAATCCGGCTTTATGACCCCCTTGGCTTAAGATTCAAGTTATGAGTTTTGACCGGATTACTTGAATCAACTCTATTTTTTCATATAAATCAAGATGATATTATTTTAATAAAAAACAAAAAAAAATAGTCAATGATTTGATATTATTTTAATAAAAAACAAAAAAAATAGTCAATGATATTATGAATAGATTTTGCTAGGACCTAGTTCTAGTTCTGAATTTGTTAAGTTTTGAATCGACCCGCAAGATTAAACCAAGTTCTAAAATTATGCTATTAACATGTGAGAATAGTTTTCTTTACCCACAAGAAAACAACTTGTTTTTTTAAAAAAAAAATTACAGGAAAATGTAATTATTTTTCACAATACAGATTCATGACAATCAATATATATATATATATATATATATATATATATATATATATCAAAATGCAAATTAGAAAACTGAATAGAAAGAATTGTGTACAGAAAGGAGGCAGGGCAGGGGGTTCTTCCAATTTTGGTCTTAACCACTCGTGGAATAATTGTATGACTCCTAGTTCTATTAATAGATACTATTTCCACGCGATGTCGCGGGTTTGTAATATATTTACGTGTTATTGTAAATTTATGGAAAAATTAAAAAAATATATAGAGAAAAATTGTTGTAATTCATAATATTTTTAATAAAAAAATTATAAATTATAAATTTTAATTAGATTAATATTTAAAAAATAAAATAAACATAAATATTTTTGAAAAAATTCATAACAAAAAAATAAAAGGAAAAATACTATGTATAGAAATATTATAGCAATCTATAATATTTCACAAGAAAATCTACGGTTGTAGTTCTAAATAAGTTCAAAATTAAAAATAATAAAATTGATAAAAAAAAATTTAAAAAAATTATAACAAAAAAATTCATGTGGGAGAACACTATAGCAACCCATAATATGTTAAAGAAAAAACTACGAAGTTAAATTTTCAACCAACTCAATATAAAAAAATAAAATCAATAAAAACAATTCTTAAAAAAAATTCATAAAAAATAAAAAAAACATGTGAAGAAAAGATAAAAAAAATAAAAACAAAACAGAGAAAGAAGAAGACAATTTTGGGAAAAAAAAGCAAAAAAAATAGAAATCAAAACATGTAGGGAAAGTTCAAGATGAATTCTTAACCAGCTCAATATTTTAAAAAAAATTGACAAAGATAATTTTAGAAAAAAATATAAAGAAATACTGTAGCACAGCAAAAACCATGTGGAGAAATATTGTAACAATTTATAGTTTTTTTTTAAAAAAACTACGAAGCAAAATCAACAAAAATCATTTTAGAAAAAAAAATTCATAAAAGAAAGAAAAAATATAACACTATGAATTGCTACATTGTTTTTGTTTTGCTGTAGTGTTTTCCCACATGTTTTTTTAAATTATTTTAGTCAGATTTATTTCTTCAATATTGAACTGGTTGAGAATTGAGTTTTAGCTTTCCCCATATGTTTTTTTTTTCATTTTTTTTTTACTATTGAGCTGATTAAGAATTTAATTTTTTAGTTTTTTTAAACACCCTGCATGGTTTTTTTAATGATTTTTTTTGTTTTTTTTAGAATTATTTTTTGTCAGTTATATTTTTTTCATATTGAGTTGTTTGAGATTTTAGCTTTATATATCTGTAAAACATTGTAGATTGCTACAATGTTTCTTCACATGTTTATTAATCATTTTTTTTTAATTGTCTTTATCAATTTTTTTTTCTTCATACTAAGCTGATTAAAAATTAAGTTTTGCAATTTTTTTCTTTAAAATACCATTGATTTCTACAATTTTCCCCATTTAATTTTTTTTATTATGATTTTTTTTATTTTTTAAAATTTTCTTATTTTTAATATTGAGCTGATTGAAAATTATAACTATGATTTTTCTCATGAAAAACTATAAATTGTTACGGTGTTTCCTTGATGGTTTTTTTCTTTTGTTTTTTTGTGATATTTTCCAAAATTATTTTCATTGATCTTATTTTTTAATATTGAATCAGTTGAAAATTATAATTGTATATTTCCTTATAAAATACCATAAATTACTGCAGTGTTTTTCTAAATGATTTTAATATTGAGCTAGTTGAGAATTTAGCTTTATTTCCTTTAAAACACTTAGATTACTACAGTGTTTTCCCATATTATTTTTTCTTTTTCTTGTGATTTTTTCTAGAATTATTATTGTCGATTTTATTGTTCTCATACTGAGTTGGTTGAGAATTTAACTTCGTAGGTTTTAAAAAAATATTGTGGATTGCTATAATATTCCCCCATATGATTTTTTTTTGTTATGATTTTTTTTTAAATTTTATTATTATTTTTAATATTAAACTGATTGAAAATTATAATTTTAGAATTTCTTATGAAACACTATAGATTGCTAAAGTGTTTCTCTGCTTGGTTTTTTTTCTTTTTATTTTTTTATGATTTTTTTAAAAATTATTTTTGTCAATTTTATTTTTTTAATAATTAGCTAGTTAAGAATTTAGTTTTGTAGTTTTTTTTTTGAAAATATTGTGAACTGCAACAGTTTTTTTTTCCATATAACTTTTTATGACTTTTTTCATAAAGCCAAGACAACGCATGAGCTCGCAGCAT